TTTGATGATCTTCATCAGTAAGTGCTTCAAGTCATCTATATTTTTGGCAAGCAAGGTTGTGTCATCTGCATATCACAGGTTGTTAACGAGTATTTCTCCAATCCTGATGCTGCATTCTTCTTCATATAGTTCAGCATACAGATTGAATACGTAGGGTGAAAGGATACACACCTGCAGCACACCTTCTCCAATTTTGAAACAGGCAGCATCCCCTTGTTCTGCTCGAACGACTGCCTCTTGGTCTAGGTACAGGTTCTGCATGAGTACAATTAAGTGTTCTGAAATTCCCATTCTCCGTATTGTTATCCATAATTTGTTACGATCTACACAGTTGAATACCTTTGCATAGTCAATAAAACACCGGTAAACATCTTTCTGGTATTCTCTGCTCTCAGTCAAGATCCATCTGACATCAGCAATGATATCCCTTGTTCCACATCTTCTTTAAATCCAGCTTGAACTTCTCATAGTTTCCTGTTGATGTATGATTGTAGTCATTTTTTTAATTACCTTTAGCAAAATTTTGCTAGCATGTGGTATTAATGATATTGTTCAATAATTTAGGCATTCTGTTTGATCATCTTTCTTTGGAATGGGCAAATATGGATCTCTTCCAGTCGGATGGCCAGGTAGCTGTCTTCCAAATTTCTTGACATAGACAAGGGAGTCTTTCCAGCACTGCATCTGCTTTTTGAAGCATCTCAACTGGTATTCCATCAACTGGAGCCTGTTTTTTCCACCAGTGCCTTCAGTGCAGCTTGAACTTCTTCTGTCAGTACCGCAGTTCTTGATCATATGCTGAAATGGATGAACTTCGACCAATTCTTTTTGGTACAGTGCAGACTCTCAGGCTCCAGAATTGAGAGACAATGTATTTCAGTTCTTATAAGTCATCCAAGGAGTCCTGGTGGTGCAAATGGTTAAGCACTTGGCTGCTAACCAAAAGGTTGGTGGTTTCAACTCACCCAGTGTCTTCTCGGGAATAAGACTTGGCGATCTGCTTTTATAAAGATTACAGCCTAGGAAATCCTATGGGGCAGTGCTATTTTGTTACACGGAGTCGCTATGAGTCAGAATTGACTAGATGGCACCTAAGAACAACACTGGCATAAGTCACCCAGTTTGTGGTACTTTGTTATAGCAGCCGTAGCAGACTCACACAGTGATGCAATGGGAACAGGCCTGTGTGAGGAGAAACTCAAAAACTTTCACCATATACTCTGTCCACTCCTGCACTGAGGGGTATAGACTGGAAACCTGTGTAGCAATGTCTACAAACGCTGAACACACACCCACCCAAAGACCCAGCAATTCCACTTGTTGGTGTATACTCAACGTCTGTTCACCAGGTATGTTCACCAAAGGTACATATGAGAACAATCATAGAAGTTCTACTCATAATCGCCCCAAACTAGAAATAGTCCAACACCCATCAACAGTGGAATCAATAAGAAATTGTCAAATATTCATACAATGGAATACCATACAGCAATGACAATGAGCATCATGGATGAATCTCACAAACATAAAGTTCGGTGAAAGAAGCTGGACATGTAAGAATACGCCCCATAGGATTCATTTATATGCTATTCAGATCCAGGCAAATCGATCCCTATTGGTAGAGGTAAAAGTAGTGGCCTCCGTTAGGGAGGGCAGAGACTGGTGGGAGCACGAGGCAGGGGGTTCATGTTCAGCTCCTTGATCCAGTGCTGGCTATACAACGTGGTCACTTTCTAAAGATCCCCTGACTTAAGATTTGTTGACCTGACACCTGAATAACACATTTACTAACAGGCAGACACATTTCTGCCTGCTTCCTGTACTTGCTCTCCTAACAGAGGAGCTTGGTCCAGTCTAGGGGCTGGATGGGAGGAAGGGGACACCCCTCCATCCATTCCACTCTTCCCTTGCAGCCATCTCTCGTTTCCTGGGACTCCAGCCCAGCCAAGGCCCCCTGCCTATGAGTGCAAAATGGAGTGGTGATCGGAGGTGGGGTCTGACTCTTCTCGCCACTCTGGGCCCCAGTTACATGGATGTACATGGGGTTTGGGCACCTGTCAATGCCCCTGCATCTATCTACCCTTCTTGTGATACCTTGAGTTTCTTAAAGGGAAGCTCCCCCTAACCCAGTCCATGTGGATCAGATGGGGTTGACCAGACTACTCAGGGATATGCATGTGACTCAGGCCTACACCAATCAGCATAGTCCCACCCACTGGCCACAGTGATTGGTTCACATGATCCTATCCTGCCCAATGAGAGTCAAGTCCAGTACATATACTTGACTTCTGGAAAGGGGAAGTGGCCTTTTACTGCTGGACTCTGAACCTGTGAGGAGGAGGAGTGCCTGAGGCTGCTGGCAGCCATCTTGTCTCTCCTTGGAACCTGAAAATGCAGCCAATATGGAGGTGAGCCGTGCAGAGAGGTGGACAGAGACAGGTCCTGGTGACACCTCTTGAGCCCTGATCAAACCACACCCGAAGCCAGAATTATCCCCGGACTTTTAAGTCCATGAGTCAATAAAATTCCCCTTTTCAAAGTCAGTTTGACTTGGACTTCCTTTCATGTGCAACCAAACAAGGCAAGAATTAAGAGTGGCTCAGTTCCAGCCAAGAAATTATTTCTTGATGTTATTTAACTAAGTCAGTGCTGACAAGCTATGTTTGCTCTATGCTTCGTATGCCCAGACCGTGGAATACTAAGCTTCAAAAAGCCATGACTATTCCTGTGGGCTTATCTTTCTCACACATTTGGGTGACCTCATTATCAGCCCCTCATTAAATTCTGCCCAACTGAAATATCCCATTGAACTGATTCTGAGCAATCAAGAAAAACAAAACAAAACAAAACAAAACTCCATAGCAGGGGCTTGTTAAGCTCCCATTTGTTGAGCGCTCACTACCAGAACCGAGCACACCATTACATCTTGATGTGTACTATCTTATTTAGTTCCTACCACATCCCTCACTGTCATTCCCATTTTATAGATGAGGGAACTGAGGCTTGGAGAGTTCAAGTCAGTTGCTCAAGGTCACACGGTGGTAGAGCAAGAATTTAAACTTACATCTGTCTGGTTCCAAAGCCTGTAGTCTTAAAAACCATTCTAAACTCGCTCTTGAAGTCTTGCTCGGATCCACAGACCCATAAGCACCTTCCGGTTTATACTCCACAGTTCTCAAACGCATGGAGCTTACTCCCAGGGACTATTCCTGTCATCGGCAGCTAATACACACGCTGGCATCAATCCCCGCAGACTCTAGATTTTCCTGGAGGCCGGCCTGAATATTCTGGAATCTGAAATCTGATCTCTGCCTTTCAAGGACATTCTGGGAAAAGTGCCTGCTTGCATGGACTTCCCTTTGTCATGTGTAGATAATCAGCTTTCACGGGGATAAGGGCAGGATTTTTGGGTTTCCAGGCTGGGGCTGCCACCTCCCATTGCTGTGATCCCAGCGTCCTTTGCAGCTACCTGCGTCTCACCTTTGAGAGCATCCTGAGACCGGTGCCTGGGCCTTACCTCATAAGCTCCTCTGTGCCAGCCTCCCCTCCATCTTTCTGTTCCCATCCCAGCAGCCTCCCTTTGGTTTTCAAAACAAAATCTTTGTGCCTTGGACTTTTACTCTTCCAGCTCACTCTGCCTGGGTGTCCTTTCCCCCACATCCTCCTATAGCAAGGTCTCACTCAGCTCAATGTCACCTCCACTCAGAGGTCTTCCCTGACTCCCATCGAAGGCAGCTCCATGCCCCATCCAGTGACTGCATCACATTACCTTGCTCATAGGCTGCACTGATAACCTTGTTAATTATAAACTTTTTAGATGTGTACACTTATTATACTGTTACACTTATTATAGTCTGTCACCTTTTTTATTTGTTGACTTGCTAACTTTCTGTCTTCTTCTACTAGGATGTATTATTCCCCACGAGAGCAGGGACTTTGATTTGTTCACTGCGGTACCCCTAGAACCACACCTGATATACAGTAGATATCCATTAACTATTGTTGAGCGACACTGCCTAGTACTATGTCTATCCTATATTTGGCACTCAATAGTATGGTCTGACAGAAGGGAGGGAGGGACAGACAAGACGTCATGGGACATTGAAGCACTGTTTGTCTATTCATGAAGGCATTAAGGCAAAAGTGCCTTAGTTATCTAGTGCTGCCAGAACGGAAATACCGCAAGTGGGTGGCTTTAATAAACAGAAATTTATTTTCTCACACTTTAGGAGGCTAGAAGTCCAAATTCAGGGTGCCGGCTCTAGGGGAAGGCTTTTTCTCTCTGCCAGCTCTAGAAGAAAGTCCTTGTCTTTTTGAGTTTCTGCTCCTGGGTGATCTTCATGTGGCTTGGCATCTCTCTTCCCCCATCTCTGCTACTCTCATAACTCCAAAGAGACTGACTCAAGATACACCCTTATTCTACCTCATTAACATAATAAATCCTCATTAACATAATAAGCACAACCCATTCACAAATGGGATTGTAACCACAGGCAGAGGTTAGGATTTACAAGACATATTTTTTAGGGGAGGGGCATGATTCAGTCCATAAAAAAGGGAATGGGAAAGGAGATGGGAAGAAAAGTTTGAACCTAGTCTAGTTTTGGATTTCAGCCCAAAGGGCATAGAAACTCTCCCACTGCTGATTACACACAAAGTTCTTGTATGTTCACTTTGGAAGCTACAGTGGAACCTGGGAAAGCCAGAACCTGTGTAAGGCAGAAACCTGTCAAAGAAGGAAAACTCAAATATTTTCCACTAATAGAGACTGACAGAAAAGTGGTAAGACTGTACCCTGACAAAGGTGGAAAACTTGTGAGTCCAGAAAAACAAGGCAGTTCTGTCGATTTCGGGCTCTTACAGGTTTCACTATATAAGGGAATTGTGAAATGCCACCAGCAGGTAAAGCCCCTTCTGGTCACCTTCATGATGAAAGCTACCTAGGACATCTGCTACCCAAACCCACGCCTCTCGATGACCCGTTCCCTGTTCCCACTTACCTGCATGCCGCTGCCTCACTGAACGTGCCTCTGTTGACTCCGACCATGCTCCGCCACATTCTTGGAGTCACCGTCTGCAAAAAGAGTATGCCTCTCTCAGGGAAGGTGTGTCCCCCCTGCTCCAGTGCCTGCATGGCTCACCAGGGACTGCCAAATTAAGTACAAATACCTTGGCCTGGCCTGTTCCCTGGCCCTACACCTCCCTTCTCCCTGAAATAAGACAACCCACCTGCAGCCTCTTCCCTCTCCTCACCAAGGTCCCATGGCCTGTGTGACCTGGCCCTGCCACCCACCCCCTCACTCACCCTACACTTCAGCTGCAGGGATGGCCAGCTGCTTCCAGCCTCAGGGTTTTCACACATGCTATCCTCTCTGTCCATTCTTTCTTATTCTTAAGGCTGGCATTCAAGTCACTTCTTTAGGAAGCCTTCCTTGACACAGCGTTCTCTCCACAGGAGGTCCTGTATGTGACCTCAGAACCCTCATCACTGTTATCATTATTGGTGTTTGCATTTTCTGCTTAATATTAGCTGCATGACAGCAGGGACTGGGCCTGTCATGTTCACAACTGTAGCCTCAACCCCTAGCACAGAATAAAGAGTAATGCTTGTAGATATGTGCTGTGAATTCTTGTAAAGATATGCTGGATGAACAGATGGACGGACGAACAGATGGACAGAAGGAAGGAAGGAAGGAAGAAGGAAGGATAGGTGGATGAATGGATGATTGGGTAGATGACTGAATGGATGAATAGATAGACGGATGGATGGATGGAAGGAAGGAAGGAAGGAAGGATAGGTGGGTAGATGGATGGATGGATGATTGGATGGATGAATGGACTGAGGAATGGATGAAAAGAAGAAGGAAGGATAGTGTCAGCCATATTTTCCAATTTCCTGACTCAGATCTGGAGAAACTTAAGCATGTCCATCCCCAGGTTCTGAGGTTCAGCATGAGGCCATGTTTACTGTGAGCCCCTCTCTGGCTCACACCTCCCCCACCCACCATCAAACAACAGGGTGTCTTCTTCATTTCCCAGTCCTGGTTTCCATTTCATCCCCTAAGTCTCAGCCTCAGTCCCAGTCTTGGTCACTTGTCTAGATGTCCGTTCCCTTCCCAGGTCTGGAGTCAGGTCTTGCTCCCACCAGAGTCCTCCCTGTCTGCAGACTGGAATGGCCACTGCCCATGTTGGATGCCACCTTGAGGAATGCTCAGGCTAGAGGAGAGATTTTCACAACAGAAGTGTCTTGGGCATCCTACCTCCTCACCTCACAGTGCCATCTGATGGCATGAGAGCAACTGGGGGGAACACGGCCATTCCCCTTCATAGCAGCTTCAGACTGGAGCGTTCTCACAGTCTTTTTAACAGACTTATTTTTCCTCTTCGCCCAAGAAATGCTCGCTGCCCTTTCGAGCGCCCTCTGAAAAGAAAGAATGATTTCTTCCTTTACCTGGATATTCTCTGTGCAATTTATGTTGTAGGAATTGCCCATCTGGAAAACAAATGAGAGAATTTCTTAAAGCTGTAAAACTCCCTTTTAGAGTGTTTATAAGGCCAAAACTATTTTCATAACAATGCTAAGAAGCCATATACGTTTTTCCCTCTCGCTCTTATGTGTGTACATGGGGTTTTCCAGAAGCTTCATGACCTGTGACACCTCAGCTGACTGAAAGCAGAAGAAGATATGAGAACCTAGATGTCTTTTCTTAACTCATTTATTAAACAGAATTGTGCAAATGTAAGACAATGCCAATCTTCTCACTATTTCTTTTGGTTTTGGTAAATACAGTTATTTTTAATAAAATGTTATTTCCAGTTTTATGTGTAATAAAACCCAAAACCAAACCCATTGCCGTCGAGTCGATTCCAACTCATAGCGACCCTATAGGACAGAGTAGAACTGCCCCATAGAGTTTCCAAGGAATGCCTGGTGGATTTGAACTGCCAACCTTTTGGTTAGCAGACATAGCTCTTAACCACTACACCACCAGGGTTTCCTTAATGTGTAATAACAATGTAATAATATATAATGATTGCTACTTTTAAACGAGTTAATACAGATATACACCCTCTCTTCACTTATCGACATGGTTAGTTTACAAAGACCAGGTTGTTATACAAAACTGGTGTTATGGGAAAATTAGGGATGACCACATCAGAAACAAAATAGAGGATGACTACATTATTAATAACTGCCAAATTACATCATTACATAACTGCCAAACCACTGAGCAACATGGCTCAGACTATTGACACATAACCTTAACCCTCAAAGCCAGTGTTACTCTTACCTCGAACATCAGCATTTGTTACTGCCAGATGTATGTCGTTAATGCTCAGAATAGTTGGATAGTAGATTTTTTACTATTGTCATAAATGTGAAATGTTGGATAATGAGATAGTCAATAAGCGAGGAGAAGGTGTATTTTAAATGTCTCAGCTTCAATTTCTCATACAGTAAATATCCATAGTTATAACCCACATAAAGAGAAGCTCTTTGGGTTTCTCAATAATTTTTAAGAGTGTAAAGAAATTCTGAGACCAAAAAATCTGGGAACCACTATCTTAACAGATGAATAGGAAGCAAAATTTCAACATGTTGTTTAGCAAATGTCATTACAAAATTCTTGATAAAGATATGTTGAGTGGATGGAAGAATGGATGGATGGATGGATGGATGGATGGATGGATGAATGGATGAATGGATGGATGGATGGATGGATGGATGGATGAACGGACAGACAGACGGACGGACAGATGGATGGATGGATGGTTGAATAGGTGAGTGGCTGAATGAATGGATGATTGGATGACTGGGTGGATGGATGGACAGGTGATTGGATGGAGGAATGGATGGATGAAAGAGAGTGAATGGATGGATGATTGGATAGATAGATTGATGGATCAGTGTTTGCATGGGGAATGAAGAGTACTTTCTTGAATCCATCCAAAAAGAAAGTAGCAGGGTTACTACAAATGAGAAGGTAAATCCTGACTATGAATCTTCATTCCACCGCTTCACTAATCCTCTGTGAGTCTTAGCTTTCTCAACTGAAAATGGGCATAAAATTAGTACCTCTTAAAGTTATTGTGAGGATTAAAAGAAATAATTTCCTTTAAAGCATCTATATGTAAATATTAGGTTAGAACCATATGAAATTGCTATTTTTGTATGTAAAAACTGGTAAATTTTTGGCAATTTCATGTCTCAAACATCATGTGACTTTCCACCACATAATTCCTGCTGTTGCTTGTCATTAACGCTCACTCTTCCCCCAGCCCCCAGCCTATTATAGCAGTAAAGCATTGGTGGGAAGGTGGAAACACCTGACAGGACATGCAGCATGTCTCATCCACAATCCAGCCACACTGACCCACTTCTTGTTCTCAGTGCAGCAGCTTCATCTTCTGCTACGCCGCTAATCAATCATATTTATGCAATAGCTGGACATTCTGTTTTTCTTCCGTTTTGTGGCCATACTAAAAATCATCAGGGTGTTTTAGAGCCAGCACTGACATTTATTTTACAAGTGACAAAACCCAATGGAGCCAATCCACACCCTCGGGGTGACTGCATATCAGCTACCGCAGCAACAATATTTTCCAAAGGTGAATGCCTTTTGGGGTCTCAGAAACATTTCTGCCCCTCTCACCACCTCCTGTGCTTGGATTCTGTCCCACAATGCCACAGGATGGGAACAGAGTTAACTGTGGAAACTGGGCATCCTCCTTGACCCCCAAACCCAAAAACCACACCTGTCTGCCATCAAGTCAATTCTGACTCATAGCAACCCTACAGGACAGAGTAGAACTGCCCCATAGGGTTTCCAAGACTATAATTTTTATGGAAGTAGACTGCCACATCTTTTTCCTGCAGAGAGGCTGGTGGGTTCAAACTACCAATCTTTCAGTTAGCAGCTGCGCACTTAACCACTGTGCCACCAGGACTCCTTCTTCCTCGGCCAGACTTCATTTATTCGCCAAACCTGTCATTTTCACACAATCAGTTTCCTCCTGCTCAAGGCTGCCTGAGCCCCACTTTATTCTTCTCATGAAGCCTCCTGGAAAAGTCACTTTGTCAGAGGTGGGCCAGTCTCCCAGATTTTGGTCCTGGTGCTCAGCTTCCAAGTGACCTGAAACCCACTTGGAAAATGCACTGATTCCTCTTGACCCTACTCTCCAAGAAGAAAGATTGTCTGCATGTGTCCCTGTACATTTTCCTGTTGTGAAAGACATGAACTCCTTACGTGTCTGGTCCACTTTCAAACCTGAATGACCATCTGCACCCTTTAGAGGCAGACTCTCAGGGAAGACTTGCAAATTAGGTGTGGGCATGAGATCTGCAACTTATTCTCAAATGGTTCAGAAAAGAAATACATATTCTTTACACAGAGAGAAAAAGAGTATGAGAAAGCGAATGTGGCAAGATTTTAACAATTGAAGAATCTGGTGAAGGGTCGAAGGTACTATTCTTGCACCTTTTCTGTAAGTTCAAAATTATTTTAAGTAAGAAGTTAAAAAATAAGTCTTAAATAAAAGACTTCATCCTTGGTAACAGGGACTTGGGATGTGAGTGCTCCATCCCTCTCCTGAGACTGCTGACCCAAGGAAGTTACTAGCATTCAACGTGTTGCCAAACTCATGTATAATTACCAACAATTATTGCTAAGTGACAGCCCCCTGGGGATGAGGCCAGAGGGAATTTCACTTACATTTCCACTGGGAAGGTTGGAATCACTGCAGTGGGAGGGGAAGATCCCACACACACACGCAGAGGCTTTGGAGCAGGTAGATGGCTCAGAATTCCACCTCTGCCCCTTCTTAGCTGTGTGCTTCTGGACAAGTTCTGGAACTCAAGTCCTCCCTCCTCCGTAAGACAGACATGGTGGTGGAGCACATTCACTGAGGCCCTACTGTGTATCGGGCACTATTCTAAGCACATTATAGGTATTCTGTCATTCAAAGTACCCCGGGAAGTAATTACCATCATCACTTCCATTTTACAGATGAAGACATGGAGGCTAAGAAAGGTTAGGTTACCTGTCCGAGGCCGCCCAGGAGGAAGCTACAGGATTTTAACCTGTTTTGGTGGTTCTGAGGCTGTACTCTGAATCATACCCTACCCTGCCTCCTGGCTGTCATTCTCCTCTTGCAGGCTTGCAGCAAAGCTTAAAGAGACCATTTATAATTAATGGTAGTCATCGGTAGTGTCAAACTCCGACTCATGGTGACCCCCTGTGTGTCAGATGTCAGAGTACAACTGTGCTCCATACGGTTGTCAGGGGCTGATTTTTCAGAAGTAGATCACCAGGCCTTTCCTCTGAGCACCTCTGGGTAGACTTGAACCTCCAGCTTTTTGGTTAGCAGCTGAGTGTGTTAACTGTTTGTACCACCCAGAGATTCCTAAATAGATACATTTAAAAAAAAAAAAAAATCCATTGCCATCGAGTTGATTCCAACTCATAGCAACCCTATAAGACAGAGTAGAACTGCCCCATAGGCTTTCCAAGGAGCAACTGGTGGATTTGAATTCTCAACTTTTTGGTTAGCAGCTGTAGCTCTTAACCACTGCACCACAGGGGCTCCAAATAGATACATAGATAGATATAAAATACCCAGTGTTTGCTGATTACCTACTACTGCCTGGCTCTGCTCTGAGGGCTTACATGGATGATCTCAATCCCCAAAACAGCATGAAGGAATCCACTGCACAGATGAGGAAACTGAGGCTCAGAGACATGAAGCCATTGAACCCAAGTTCACCCAGCCAGGAAGTGGCAGAGCCGGGAGCTGAAGCCAGTCTACTGACTTGAGGGCCTGTGTCACACTCAGGCCTGGGAGGGAAAGGGCAGAGGGCATGGGAGAAGGCTCCAGGCAGTGGGTCGACTGGAAGAGCTCTGGCCAGGCTGACGGTGCCGGCGGATATTCTTGGGGCAAGTGTCCCAGGCAGAGGGTCAGGGGAGAGTGGGGGCAGGGCAAGGGCCAGGCAGGTGCACCCACACTCACCTGCCTGCCGACGCTGCTTGACACACTGCCCGCGGTTGGGGATGCCCTTGGCCATGTCACCTGGGCTCAGGATGTGGCACTTGTAGCCCGTGGGACACAGCAGCGGCTCAGCTCCATCCTCGGTGGTGCTGCATGCCTCTGCTACAAGAGGGACACATGCCAGGGTCAGGGGGCCTGCTGGGGCAGTGGGGTACACCTGACCAGGGGGATGCCACCCAGCTGCACCCTAGATTTCAGGCTGGGCCTCGGGTCTCACTCACAGGGGTCCACATGCACACACACACACGTCTGAAGTCAGATGCTCCCAAACATGCCCTCACGTGCAGTGACACACATAAACACACGTTCACACACACAATCCTGACACATTCATGCACACAGTCACACACATACATAAATATTCTCCCCACATACAAATCCTGACATACACATATACATTCACACAGTCAGATATGTACACACATTTACCCCATACATGCATTCATAGTGATGCACACACATGCATGTTCACACTCAAATTTTGACACACATAATATACTCATGCATAGTCACACACATACATGTTCACTAGCATACACAAATTTTGACATGCACACATACAGCCACACACAAATTCTGACACACACAAATACACATGGTCATATGTACAGCCACACATAGTTCAAATCCTCCCACACTCACATATGTTCACATATGCATACATACGCTTACCCTCACACAAATCCTCAGACACACAGCCATACAAATACATATATGCTCCTCACACACACACACCCACATTCATACACACAGTCACACACCTGTACATGTACACAGATAGGCAAATCCTCAGACCCACAGCCACAGGATAGCCACACAATTGCAGGACATGTGCACACCCGAGTGGACAGTCATGCACACAGACTTGTACAGAGTCACAAGCACAGCTGCACACACACAGACACACTCACACCCCTGAAACTCTCTAGGCCCTGGGACTCTGTGCTGTTCCTTTCAGAAACTGCTTCCCACCCCACCCCAGAAGGAGGCCTTATCACTAGGAAGCAGTGAACCCCTAAGTAAGATTTTAGAGATTCTGAAAACCAATCCCACACCCTCTCTCCTGCAAGGAGGTCCCATTCTTAGGGAAACTCCAAATCCTTCTGTACTGGGGACTCTGAGAACCTGGCCAAGCCCCCACCCTTAACCCTTCTGTGTTGGGTGGGGGTGGGGAGGGTCACAGAGGGCACCGCGCTTGGCTGAGGGGCCAGAGGCGGCCTCCTGGCTCTCAGTTTGCTGAGAGCAGCCTGGGAAGGAGGTCCGGCTCTTACATGGGATCTGGGCCTTCCCCTGCAGGTACCTTGCAACACCTCCTCAGGACCATCCAGGAGCCAGCCGTTGCCGCCAAGCCATCGAGGTTTCGGCTGCACCAGCCAGTCTAAGACTAACACAAGATGTGGTAAATCTAGGCCCCCATTATGCAGCCGAGAAATGTCCCAGCTTTGGGGGTGGGGAGCCTACATTTTATGACAAAACACAAAGGCTCCTTGTGGGAGAAACAATTATGCTTCCCCAGTGTAGGTTCCCCCTTCTTTCTTTTAGAAACAGAACCCCCGTGTTTCAGCTGGGCACTGGGCCACTAAGCTAGAAACTCCACTTCCCAGCCTCTCTTGCAGCTAGGTGTGGCCATGTGACTAAGTTCTGGCCAACAGGAGGTAAGCAGAAGTGATGATGCAACTTCCTGTCTTGCCCTTGAACTGATGACCGTTTTCTCCCCTCCCTCTCCTTCTGTCTTCCTGTGGCTGGGAGCCACTCTGACCACGGGGACAAGGGCATCACTCAGACTGCAGAGCAACAAGATGGAAGGACCCTGGGTCCCTGGATGATTCTGTGGAGCACAGCCACTCCTGCCACAGGCTGCCTGTCTACAGGCTGGGCCCTATATTTGTGGGTCTTTTTGTTACAGCAGCATAGCTTACTATCTAACCAATACATTTTAAATAGGAAGAGTTTCTGAAGCAGTAGCTTGGAAAACCTTCAGAAAACCAAAGCAGGGGTGGAAAACTCATAATACTCCGGGGGATAAGTAGACGACATAAACAACAAAAGCAGGCCAGGTAGGGACTCTGGCAAACTAGACAGCATTTCCAGTTTGAATGAATTAGCTGCTGTTTAGTCCTGGCCAGCCACTGCCAATGTTCTAAGACCTTCTGATTTAAAAAAAAAAAGAAAAAACTATAAAAATGGATTTTTAAAATATAAGTCTACTGACTTATAAATGCTGGCAAGTAATTTTTTAAAAATTCGGCACTTTGGAGATCAAATAAGACATGTCTGAGATCACATTTATTTGTGACCTCTGCTTTAGTTTGACTCCGAAATACAACAAAAATAAGGAGGCTGGTGTACTATTTTAAAGTTGTCGATGAGTACTGGTACAAATGCTGGTTAGCTTTTTCTTTAAAAAGATGATTATAAAGATGGTTGCTCACAGCACGGACATTGAAACAACAGAGGAACCAGTTCTGCCTGGGGCTGAGCCCTCAGATAATACAGCCTGTTTGGGTGGCACTTTTCAGTGAGAGGCGGGAGGTGCCTTGGGCCTTCATTACAAATGTGTCTGAGAAAGTGGCCCCAACCCTTCTCCCAAGGCCAAGGAGGAGCATGGAAGACAGGCAAGAATGACCACACTTTGTTTTCTTTGGGATGAGGTCACAGCGATGACAAAGGACTCAGCACCTTTAATAATATTCATAATTACAATCTACAATGCATTTTGAGCACGACCTCTTGTCCAAGGACAGGGCAAGTGCTTAGGGCCAGGCTAGCCCCTAAGAAAAACCAAAAAAACCCACTACCATAGAGTCAGTTCCCACTCATAGCAACCCTATAGGACAGAGTAGAACTGCCCCATAGGGTTTCCAAGGAGCGGCTGGTGGATTCCAACTGCTGACCGTTTGGTTAGCAGCTGATCTCTTAACTACTACACCACCAGGGCTCCAGCCCCTGAGAAGCTTCATAAAAAAGGTAGAATGGCACCCGTCCTGATGGAAGAAACACATACAGGTGTTCCCCTCTGGGTGGGCAGGTCAAAAAGGTGCCCCTTCCTCTAGGCTGAGACAGGGCCCCAGGATTGGAGAATGGAGCGTGGGTGGGACTTATCTAGGCCTCACCTGGGCTAAGTGCTTTTGTGCAGTGTACAAGCACTCCCCACTTCTACTCGACTTAGGGGCACATTTTCAGTGGGGGGAGGGGGAGGATAGCTGCCCCTACCACCTCCCTCAGTGTCGCCACGGCTCCCTTCCCTCCCCACCCAAACCTCCTTTCTAAAAAAAGGGATCTGAACTCCTTCCTGCAGGCATGAATCACCAGGGACCGTTTCTCCCACAGAGATTTGCAATTTGCATCACGATTCGACAGAAGCCCTGTTGATTATGTGCTCTGGAAGCGGGGCTGGGCACTTGGAAATGTTCGCGTGTGAGCTGGTGTTTCCATGCCCGCTGTACAGGTGAGGAGACTTGAGGAAGTAACCAGCTGGACTCTGCACATGCCTTCCCTGCAGCACATGGCTCTGGACAGCTAAACCTCTCCCCCTCCCTAGGGTACACCCCCTCTGGACTGCTAAGCCTCTCCTGCCCCCTCCTTCATCAGTGAGGGAAGGAGGGCCCGTCTGCCTGCCCGTGGAGGGACACTTGAGGCTCCAGCCAGGGCTGCCAGGGAACGTAGCCCTGCATGTTTAAGAACAGCCAGAAATCTGGATTTTGGTGAGAAACCTCATCCCCTCCCCGCCTCACAGCAGGTGGCATTTTCCCTGGATTGGCTGTTTCTCAGACTGTAGGCACCTGAGGGCAGGTGGAGTGCCTGTCCACACTATCTTCACAGTAGGTGGCATTTTCCCTGGACTGGGTGTTTCCCGTACTGCAGGTATCTGAGGCAGGTATCTGAGGTACCCAGATAGGACGCCGGCTCAATGAGTTACTACTGTCGCCACAGGTGAAGCAATGGAGGAGGGACGAAGAGGTGAAGTGACCTGCCCAGGTGGCCCAGCTAACCCCAGCCTCGGTTTCCCACAGGCCCACGCCCTCTACGTCAGGCCCGACGGTGGTACCTACCTGGCGGGGGCAGCACGGCCTCCAGGCAGGCATAGGTGCAGCCATTGTAGCAGCAGCGCTTGTGGCGCGGACACTCGGCGTCGGCCTGGCAGCGCAGCGCCTGGCAGGCGCCC